TTCATGTTCTATAATAATAGTGCTTAGAGTTTCATTAATACTTAATTGTTCAATGTAAATAAATAATTCAGAAATATATAAGGTAACTATGGGTATTGTGGTGGATAGGGGTATTGTGGTGGATCTGCTATAACTCGTGACCCATCGATCCAAACTAAACAATTTTTATACCATTCAAATCGTCTCATTGAGACGATTCGAATGGTATAAAAATCGTTTGATTTTGATTATTGGGTCATGAGATATTGGTGTTCGAATGTTATAAATCAAATTTTTTGAAAAAAATAATCTTATATTCAGACACTATTCTAACACCAATATCTTGTGACCCAGTGATTGAAATCAAAAGATTTTTGTGCCATTCGAATCGTCTCGATGAGATGATTCGAATGGCATAAGAATCGTTTAGATTGGACTAATAGATCACGAGTTATTGCAAATCTGCCACAATACCCTTATCTACTACAATACCTCTTCCAACTTCGTATATCATACGATTATAAATAACTTGAGATCCATTAATCCAAATTGAACGATTTTAGTACCATTCGATTTGTCTCATCAAGATGAATTGAATAGTACCAAAATCATTCAATTTGGACCAATGAATCCCGAGTTATGCCAAATTTCTCTTAACTCCGCCACAATACCCATACTTACCTTATCTACTATTATATAATAGATTCCGTTTCCTAATGCCCATAAATTAGTAGGCTCAATTTCTAATACTTTATTTAAAATCGAATTGATATATGCATATCATACAGCAAATTATTATGAAACGAATTACATAATACCAGCACAATTTGATTATTTGTGTATTATGTTGATATAACATTTCTTTGTTTTCCAATAGTTGAAATTCATATTTCTAAAATTATAAACCAGAAAGTCTTTCATTTCCACAAATTAACATATACAACCACATTATTATCATAATACATGTCTTCACGTTCTTGGTCATTTCCGTCTTCATTTTCACCTATATTACAACCATCATCATCATCGCTATCATCATTTTCATCACCGTTGTCTTCGTCAATATCATCTTCATCGCCGTCATCTTCGTCATCATTATCTTCATCACCATCGTCTTCGTCAACATCATCCTCATTGCTATCGTCTTTGTCGCCGTCACCTTCATCGACATCATTATCACCACCACCATTATTGCTATTGTCATTATCATTTTGGGTCAAGTCAACAATGCTTTCATCCTCATTTGCGTTATCCTCATTAGTATATATATATTCACTATGTTTTTTTTGAGCCTTTGGGTTTTTAACCCAATCATAATTGAACATTAACTCCTCGTCAGTTCCATTTTGAGCAGTGGAGATGCCACAACACTTGAACGAATATTTGATAAGGGAGGGATCAACTTGGTTCCATGCTTTTACTACCCATTCGGCCACCAAATTATAGGCGGGTCGTTGGATATGACCTGTGCGAGTTAGTTTTTTGATTTCTTCTCCCATCCAATCGAGGTAAAATTTGCGATACTAAAGTAATTAAATAATTAAATTTATAAAATAATAGTTATGTGAATATAAAATTATTGTTCTTAACTCACTCTCAAAAAAATAATTTGGTCCATGAAATATTAAGATATACAAAGTTTTAAGTTTAAAAAAAAAAAAAAAAAAAAAAAAAAAAAAAAAAAAAAAACGTACACCTAATAAATGAAATTAGAACCTTATTATGTAATCAATTGATTATTAATATACTGTGCTCTACTATGGCTATTGCGTCTTCTAATATTAACGCTATCTCATGTAATTATTTTGATAATTTTTTTAGAAAATGGGGTCAAGAACAATGTTTCGCTAAATAAATATATACAATTAACTCTGGATATAGCGAACCTTTCCATAATGAATTCTGAATATGACGATTTTCTTTAGAACCATCAATTCGTTATATAAAAAATAAAAAAAATAATCTATTTACCTTATCTTTAAAGGACTTATTAATATATATATCCAATGGTTGCAATTTCTTAGTAAGTCCTTCTGGAATGACCGCAATGTTAGTATTTTTCTTATTAAATCGATTTTTAACTGAGTCAGTAAGATGACCACTAAATGTATCCAAGACTAATAATGAGTGAGGATTGACAGACAAAGGAGCCCGACGATTCCATATATTTTCAATTCAAAAAATCATTTCATCGGCATTCATATACCCACTTGGATTGGTTCGTATAACAATGCCTGATGGAAATACCTGTTGTGGTACATTTACTAATTTAAAAAGTATCATGGGGGGAAGTTTGGTTCTGTTAGCTAAACAACTTAAGACAATGGTAAAATTAGATTTTTCATAACCAGTTGTACAGATTCCAACGGTATTAGCACCAGTTTCTTTAGTATATAATTACAGAGTATATCAAATGCTAACGGTGTTTCATCCATATTACCGATGAGTGAAAGGGGATAATTGTAGCACATGCAATGGTATAATATGTGACTTAAAAATCTATTTCTTTTAGGTTTTAAGTCTTCTGGCAATCTTTGTGCTACTGTAGTATGGCGTCGGTTGCTAAAATTATTACGACGCATAAAACCATCAACCCACTTGTTATTCCACTTGCATTCGTTAATCATTGAATAAAGCAAGAGAAAACGCAGTTGCTTTGCAAGTTGACTAGCTTTAGTTCTGACCATGTAACGAGATACAATCTTTTGCCGTGAACGTAAAGATTTAACCCAGGTTTTAAGATCAGCTTCTAAAAGTGGATACTTAGGATGCCCACCAATATTTAACCATCTAACATAAGGTGGTGCATTTTTTAATTCATTTTTTTTTTAATCTATTCTCGTAATTGTTTTGGGGTTATATTAAACCTTTCTGCAGTATTTTATTTGCTAGCCATGAGATTTTGT